TTCTAGAAGCACTTCACCACAATGAGCGCGGGTACGGAATGTATTCATCATCCGTACCCCGTTCGGGCAAGAAGCCCCGGACTACTTATGAAGCTGCCGCCGCTTCTGTTCCCAGATTGCGACAGCCTTCGGGCAGTCAATCAGGAGCCGTTCAATCGGCTCCCACGAGTTCTCGGAGTGGGCATAACCCCTCCACTTCACGAGGAGCTGTCGCTTCCCGCGACACCGTTGCTCCTGGAGGATCCGCTCCACGTGGAAGTGGACTTCTCCATTCCGGTCAAGCAGGGGCGGAGGTGCCCTCGTACGAGTACGAGTACTCGGCGCCTCCCGAGAGCCACTCTCGTTCGAGTGCTCCGACTGCGGGTCCGACACGGGACCCTGAGGTTGACCGCCTCCGTCAACGTCTCCTCGTGCTTGAGATTGCACTTGGCCTTGGGACTGGCGGTAATGCTGCCGCCCAGGCCGGGAATCAGGGCGAGCTCGCTCGTCTTGCGGGTCGCCTGGACCTGGTGGAGCGAGAGGTCGCGAGCCTGCACCTGCGGGTGGACCGCCGGGCCTCTTCGTCCGATCTGGACGAGGCCTTTCCCATGATCCGACGGATCGAGGCTTTGTTGCCACGTCCGGAGCCGCCTGCGGCACACTCCCAGACGTACGCGTATGGTGCGTACCCCGGCGTACTCAGCGTACTCGGCGTATGGCGCCGGGGTCCGTTCGTATGGAGCCCCTCCGGCGTACGGTCTTGACCGCAGCCTTGCCGTCCCGACCGAGGCTTGGGTGCCTGCTCCGACGCCCTCGTCGACGACTGTGACCGGCCCCTCGCTTCGAAGAAGCTGGGTCAAGGGGGGTCTGCGAGTCAGCAACCCCCTGCGGGTCAAAGTACCGCTTAAGACGTCCGACATAGAACGTCGGGTGCGTCGTCATTGACTTTGGAAGGTCGATGGTGTACGACGCACCATGTCTGGCCAGGACTGCAAAAGGTCCGATGAAGCGGTGCTTCAGCTTGTTGCTGCCGACAGAGCTAACAGTGTCTAGAGGTAGGTTCCTCGTGTCTAGTAACACTAAGTCACCAATCTCAAATATACTTAAGTTTCCTCTTCCTTGTTTGTCCGAGTACTCCTTTTGTTTATCTTGGGCCGCTGCCATGGCATCGCGGACCCTGCTGACAATGTTCAGCTTGGTATCCATAAAGGATTCCACCTGTTTCCGCAGCGAAACTGGCCTCACATCCGAGACCTGGGAGGAAAGGGCTTTCCGAGCCTCTCCCCCACTTAGAATAGAGGAGTCAGTGTTTCCTCGAAGAGTGAGAGGCACTCTGGGGTGGCGGAAGCCGTTCAAGTAGAACGGCGTGAACCCCGTGGACGCGTGCACCGCGTTGTTGAGCGCAAACTCAACAACTGGAAGCTGCGTCGACCACGTACGTGGCGCTGCCGCGCACACACTGCGCAGAGTGTCCTCGAGCACTCGATTGACGCGCTCTGTTTGGCCGTCTGTCTGCGGATGATCCGCAGTGGACATCTGCAGACGAGTTCCCAGTAAAGGGAACAGCGTTTTCCAAAACGCAGCAGTGAACCGCGGGTCTCGGTCCGAGACAATCGTCTCCGGGAGACCGTGATAGCGGAACACGCCATCGACGAACAACCTTGCGGTTTGTTCGCCCGTCACAGTGACGGGAACTGGAGCAAGATGTACCATCTTGCTCAGCCGACACACGAGCACCAAAATTCCGGTGTTGCCGTGTCCGTCGGCGGGAAGCCCAAAGATGAAGTCAAGACTCATCGACTTCCAACAATCAGCCGGTACGGGCAGGCTCTGTAGTGGAGCCGAAGAGTGCCCTGCGGGTTTAACCCGCTGACATGTTTCACATGTCTTGACGTACCGGGCGACCCACTTGTACATGTGGGTCCACCAGAAGGACTGAGAGACCGACAGAAAGGTCTTCTCGCGGCCCAAGTGGCCGCTGGAGGGCGCGTCATGCGCCTCCGCGAGGATGTCGAACTTCAGATCCTCGTCGTTGGGTACAACCACCCGTGGAGGATCAGTGGGCTCTACCCGATAATAGAGGAGGCCCTCCTTCAACTCATATCGGTGGAGCCGTGAGCGCTGTCGCGACGAGAGCCAGTCGGACTTCGCGCTCGTTCCGGCCTTAAGGAACTTGACGATAGGCGCGACAGCCTCATCGTCCCGATACGCCATGCGTATCCGATCATATAGATCCGTTGTCACCCGCGTGATGTGGGCCAACTCATAGTCGGGACGCCTAGAGAGGGCGTCCGCAAGCACGTTGAGCTTGCCCGGCTTGTACTCGACGCGGAAGTTATATTCCGCGAAGAAGGACAGCCACCTCGCCATCCGTTGGGAGAGGTGAGGCGAGTTAGTCGCCGTCCTCAAGGACGCGTGGTCTGTGTAGATCACAAAGGGCGTAGAGCCCAGAAGGTGAACACGGAACTTCACAAGGGCATATTTCATTGCCAGGAGCTCCTTGTCATGGACAGGGTAGTTCCGCTCGGCGGCTTTGAGCTGCCTGGACTGGAATGAGATGACTCGTTCCTGTCCAGCCGTGTCGTCCTGCAGCAATGCACACCCGATGGCGTAATCGGAGGCATCGCAGACGACGCTAAACGGCTTCGTCTCGTCCGGCAGAGCCAGGACAGGGGCCTCTTGGAGACTGGCCTTGATCTGTCAAAAGCATCCTGGTGCTCTTGCTCCCAGCGCCAGTCGACGTCCTTCTGAAGGAGGCTCGACAAAGGCTTAGCGAAGCCCGCGTACCCAGCGCTGTACTTGTGAAGGTAGTTGGCCAAACCCAACCACTTTCGAAGATCCTTCTGGGATCGGGGCGTCGGCCATGCTGCTATGGCCTTGACCTTGTCTGGGTCAGCCCGAACGCCCACGTTGCTTACGAAGCAACCGAGAACTTTGATCTCTGGTGACGCGAAAACGCACTTGTCGATGTTGGCGTAGAGCTTGTTCGCTCGCATCACGTCCAACACTCGACGGAGGTGTCCTAGATGCACCTCCATGGCCGTCTTGCCTCCCTCGGCACGGCTATGGACGAAAATGTCGTCGAAGTACGTCTGTACGAAGGTACGCAAAGGGCGGAACAATTGCGTCACCAGGCGATTGAACGTCGCCGGGGCGTTAGACAAGCCCTGCGGCATGACGAGCCACTCCCAAAGCATGCCGCTTGGAGTGCTTACCGCGGTGAGCGGGATGTCACTCTCTCGCATCAGGATTTGGTAGTATCCGTCTACCAAATCCAGCGCACTGTACAGTACGCTCCCGGCCATGTTGTTCAACAACACATCCTTTCGTGGGATCGGTGTTTGGGCCGGCACCGTTGCGTTGTTCAGCTTGTTATAAGCGTGAACCAGACGCCACTTTCCGTTCGGCTTACGAACGCAGAAAGTCGGCGTCGAGTGCGGGGATTTCGACTCCCGCACCATGCCTGCCTTCGCTTTCGCGGCGAAGAAGGCATCAATGACCTCGCACTGTTCGCGCGGGAGAGGCCATTGCCTCGTGACACAATACTTTGTGCCGGGCACGAGATCAATCTCGTGCCGTACGCCTCGATCCGGTGGGAGTTGGGTCGGTGGGTGTTTATTCACCACGTCCGCATACTCCGTCACCAAAGGATACACCGGATCCTTGGGGTTCTTGAGAATCTTAGAACCCAAGCGCGCCTGACGCTGCTTGTTCATGTATTCCAGGACGTTCTCGTCCAAGACAGAGGAGGAGTTCAGCTCCTCCTGAGTGGTCTCAGGTCTTATGAGTACCATCTCAGCGATCTCTCCAGCCTTGAGGTTGGCCAGGAAAGACTCAGCCGTCATTTCCTCGAGGTTCAGTATCTCTGCAACCTCTGGCAACTGTTCCAAGTGGACACCAGATGCCTTGACGGGTAAACCCGTCTCGCTATCGAAGATGTGATAGCACTCTTCCACCGGCCTTGTCGGAGGAGCCCGGGCCCTGGACTCCGAGTCGCTTGAAGCGACGTCGATCGGAACGAAGTTCGGATCCGACTTGAGGCGGCGGCGGCGTCTTTGCCGACGGCTTCTGTGACGGGGAGCTTTGCTGCCCACGTCTAGGGATGTCGTCGCTACGACATCCGAGGCACTCGTGGCCTCGTGTGGTACTGTTGTACCCACACAGGAAGCGTGTTCAACGCCTTCCTCTTCAGTTAAGGTCTGGGCGACCGCGTGTGGCACTGTGTTACCCACACAGGAAGCGTATCCGACGTCTTCCTCTTCAGTTATGGTCTGGGCGACCGTGAGTGGAACTCTGTTACCCACTCTGAACACGCTGTTCTCAGTGTTCATGACAGCTGCAGCTGTCTGCGGAACTAAGTTACCCGCCTGTGGACCTACGTTACCCACTTGGCCGGCGCCTCTTCTGGGCGCGGCCACCATCAAAACATCCTCGGAGTCGTCATATACGTCGACGACTCCCAAGCATCTGCCGGATCCTTTGGTACCCTGGCAGCCCTCGCGGGCGCCCCGGGTCCTGACAGAGGTGGGAACATGACTCACCAATGCTCTGTCGGACTGCGCAGGGCGGCTGGCACCGATTGCCTTGCCTCGCCAGTCGATCCAGGGCTCGTGCTTCTCAAGCCAGGGCATGCCCAGCATCATATCATATGGATCCATATCGAGAACAGTGAACTGTTCGAGGCTGTCAAAGTCTTCAAACTTGACAGCCAGATCCACTTGGACGTTGGGGACAGTGACGACCTTCCCGTCGGCCAGTCGCACTGACACCGTCCCGTTGCCCTTGCTTTCTCGCAAAGCTTCGGACAACTTGTTGCTGTTACGAGCAACCGTCTGGCGGCGTGCGAAATTCTTCGACGCCCCAGAGTCAATCAAGATTCTAAAGGGGTGATCGTACCCCCGTACACATCCGTGTACTACGAGCAACCCGCCGCTGCTCTTCGCCGATTCGAGAGTGCGAAGACTCTCAGGGGCTAAGTCCCCGTGGTACGCGCCACCCGCGCACCCATCACGAAGACTTAGTTCTTCCCCAGTAGGGCGCCCCGCCCCTACTGGTTCCCTGCGTTCCCCTGTCCCCGGGATCCTGGCTTCTGCCAGCGACCCTTGAGGACGGGCTTGGGGAAGGACCGTCTGCGGAGTCTTTCCGCGGGACAGTCGCGCTTGAAGTGGCCCATCTTCCCACAGCCGAAGCAGCGGATGTCCGGCTGTCAGGCGGACCCGAGCTCCATGGGCATTGGTCCGTTGGGGCTTGTGCAAAAGCTAGCCGACAAGGAACTCCCAGGCCACGCTGAGGCCGGCGTACGCGCCTGGCGATGGCTGTATTCTTCTTGAAGAGCCACTTGAATCGCCTCTTCAAGGGTGCTAGCCTGCACCCGGAACAGCTGAGTGCGTGCGGGGCCCACTCGAAGGCCGTCCATGAACACAGTCATCTTGATGTGTTCATTGAGTGGGTTTCCCACTAGGGACGCCGTGAGCTCCCGTATCTCTTGCACATACTCGTGCAGTTCGCGTCTTCCTTGTTTACACGCGAGGAAGCGCGAACGCTGGCGGTACTCGTAGTTCGCCGGGAGGAACGCGGCTCGGAGCTGTTCGCACAGCTGAGCCCAGGATGTGAAACATCCAGGGGATGTCGCTTCCCGAGTGTACACCCAACTCTTAGCACGACCGCTAAGGTTGGAGAGTGCAAAAGCAACACGCAGTTGCTCGGTCGAGATCAGAGCCGCGTCCATCGCAAGCTCTACTTCTCGGACCCAGAAGTGAAGGTTCTCGCCTTCCTTCCCTTCATACGGCTTTACCTTCAGCCGTATTGGCTTCGGGTGAGGCGGGTTTGCTCCCGCCGCCGGAGCCTGCAGGTTCTCCCGCACATGCGCGATGAGGCCCTGCTCGTACGCGTCGAATGCATTGACGCGCTCGAGCTGCTCAGCCGGTGTTGATACCACCAGGCTCTGCAGGGCCTCCATCCCGAAGATGCCTGCCATCTTCCGAACCGACTCGAACTGAGAGTCGTTCATATGGGAGAAGTCGTTCCTATCCATGGCAACGAACTTCGGAGGTTCAGGTAGTCTACCCGCGATGGCGTGGATTGACTACAAGTGCTACCAAGTGTGACGGGGTCACACAGCACCTTGCGCTAGAGGAAGTTATCTTCCGAGAGTATACAAACTCTCAGTGAACGGCAGTTCACAGGTCCCCTCTTTAATTAAAGAGAGCGAAGTGACCTAAATAAGGTAGATTGTAAACTGAGTATATTTATAGGTAGGTTAAGTTTGTGGTTAATACAAACTATCAGTTACCTATAGAAATGCAATGTCATTTAACCAATGGTTGGTTTTGAATGACCTTGGTACCTTGTACCAAATATCCCGGAGTATGACATGTCATACTCCTGAAGTGTGAAGTGTCACACTTCATGTAACCAGGGTACACTTAGTGCTACGTACCCCGTTACAATACAGCCTCACAAACTTGGCTGGTGTCCACTTCACCCAGATAAACGATCATCTTTTTTCTCGTCTTTTTCAGCCAAGTGGTTAGAATGGCGATTGGGGTCATCGGTCGTGGAGAACACTGGCACGAGATCTTAGGAGTCAAACTAACACACGCTAATTTATGTTATAATCTCGCCAGTGGCCGGGTTAAACTTACATTTGAGATACACAATATATCGTACAAAATGCACGACGATTTCCAGTGCATCTTTGTATTTCACCGATTTGACTAGTATTCAATATGCACGACGATTTTGAATGACAAAAAAATGGTGGCCAGCAAAACTTCTCAGCCAATCACAGGATGTTCAAATGTTTATCTAAGCCAATCGGATTTAGTACGTCTAGGTGAGCCTGTCGGATGATACCGGTACTCAAAAATGCATTAAAGTTAAGATTAGACTTTTGCACACGAACTGGAAGCGCAGAGAAGAAAATTGAAGTAGGCATGTATTGCGGCTGACTGGTTTCCACCTTCCTGTCAATCAAGCCGACCGCGTGAAGTCTGGTGCGTATCACGCCGCGTGATATGCATTTCCTTGACCATGTCGGTCTGTGTGAGAAATCCTAAATTTCTCAACAGAAAACAAATATCCAGTCAAACGGCTGCCAAAAAACATAATCAACACCATTTGCACACTCTCATTCCATTCAGGAGAAGGAAGACGCAAATACCGGTTCGAACAAAAATCGACCTCATTCTCCAGACGAGAAGAGTTGTAGAATTATTAGCGATTAGTGGCAGGCATATCCACCTACGCTACCGCACACACTCCTCCCCCCACCGACGTACCTGACAGCTGCGTCCGCCGTATTCGAATCCCGTCCCATGAGCGAAGGGCTCTCACCGCCGAGGAAACGCGCGCGTCTCCGTGCCGAAGAAGAGACTGCCGCGACGACGCGTCCATCCGACCAGGAGGCTGCCGCCTTTGTTGGTAGCATGCCCACTGACCCGCAGGAGGTGCCAGAACACCGTGGAAGACTCGCCATGTCGTCCTTTCTGCTAATGGCGCGCGGGCGGCTCGACGCTCAAATGCCGGCCGAGGTGCTCGCCGATCCGACGTCCCCAGAGGCGCTTTCGGCCGCTGCTGGCGCGCTCGAAGCGCTTAGTAGTAGTGTCGTGCCTGTGGATGAACCAATGCCCATGGCTGTGGCTGTAGCCGCCGAGGAGTCGACAACCGACGACGAAGAATTGCAACATTTCTCTATGGTCAAATTGGAACCCATGATGGGCGTACCGGAAGGCTCAGTAGCCGTGGAGCTCTTGTACGAGGATGTGGTAAACTTCCTTTTCAATATGGCAAGAGAGCAGAAGACACAGCAGCTCCACAAGGGCATGCGGACTGTCAGGAAGGCCAGGAACGCCGACGAGCTGCTCCCGAGGCTGCTTACGGCCGAGGATGAGACAGGCTTGACGCTGCTGATGATCGGCGTGCGCGGCAATGACCGTGTGCTGTGTAATATGCTGCTAGATGCCGGAGCCGACGTGAACTTGAAGACCGTACGTAGCTGGCTGCTGTATGGTGCATTTTTTGCTTTACACTTTATTGGATTTGGATATGCTAACGTTTATTCTCTCTCTCTCTCTTTTATTTATTGTTCCGTGTGTTGCTTTTTTTGTTTTTCTCTCCCGCAGGAGAAACGCACCTATGCTCTGCTGCTTGCGGCCCAGAAGGGCTGGGAGGACATGACGAGGTTTCTGCTCGAGCGCGGCGCCAACGAAGAGTCGAAGAACATGGCTCTTATCCCGGCCGCTCATTTCGGGCATTTGCCAGTGGTTCAGATGCTTCTGGAGACCGGGGGCAACCACAACTATGCCAATAAGAAAGGCACGACTCCGCTCATGCGTGCGGCCCAGGAAGGACGCGAAGGGGTGGTCAAGTTTCTCATTATCAAAGGGGCCGATACATGCGCGGCGAACAACGAAGGCATGACGGCGCTTATGCTTGCAGCGCAGCGGGGCCACGCGACTATTGCCACGGCACTTATGAAGTCCGGCTCGAATGTGAACAAACAGACGCGACAAGGCAGCACGGCGCTGCTGCTTGCAGCTAAACGTGGCCACACCGCCGCAGTGGAAGCGCTGATGACGGCTGGCGCGGATATCTTCCTTAAGGACGATCGAGACAAGACGGCGGCCGAGACAGCTCAACGACGAGACCACGTGGACTTGGTTTTTGAAGATTTCGGTGCAGAACCAACTCCGTCTAATGCGCGAAGACCTCCGACGACAGAGGTGCTACTCCCTAATGCGCTTATCGACGCTGTACGTGCTATCGCGCGCGGAGCTGGCGCCGGCGTTCAAACATCAGAAGCGACAGCAGTTCAATGCTCTAATGGACCGAACGCTGCGCTTACCCAAGCCGCTACTGCAGAATATCGCGCTGTTCCTGCCGCTTTGCCGCATGTGGGATCGTCAGCTGCGCTATCTAATTTACGAGGCGGCGCCGCAGCCCAACCGCGTGGTGCAGCAAGGTATCCGCATCTTGGATGAGGTGCTGCTGAGCGTGAGCCTGGAGCTGCGACCAAGTCTGCACCGAATTAAGCAAGAGTGTGGCGGGCCGCTGCATGTGACCGGCCAGCTTGGACTACTACGCGACAGTCCGGAGTACCGCTGCCTGTTCACGATGGAGTGCCGGACGCCCATGTCTCCGCGAATGTTGCACCAATTGAGACGTATGGCTGATATCCAGGGCGCGCTGTCCACGTATGCCGCCGGCTCTGCGATCCAGTTCGGCGTGGAAGTAGCCCAGGACGTGGTGTCGCTGCTCACGGACCTGCTGAACTGGGACACTGGCCGAAGACAAGCCGAGCTGATGGGTTGAAGACTGCAGGCGGCAGGACGCCCTTGGTATAAGTAACGAAGCGAGAAAGTTAGGTACTAGTAAATGACAGGAGTTGCAGTAAAATTGCAGTCCAATATGTGTGTAGCCATGTGACGTCGTCGACGTGTCGTCTTGTTGTTGCTGCTTGCATGAATGAGTGCGTCAGTTGGCAGATTATTTTAACGGGGGCGATGGAGTTTTTGGTGCACAATATCTCGCACTCGGACCTGGTGGTGGAGCTGTCGTGGCTGCGTGAAGACGGCGCGGCCGCCAGCAGCAACGGAGCGACGGTGCCCACGGCCCGCCAGCCCGTCGCCAGCGTGGACGTGGACGACGCGGCCGTACCGCTGTCGGTGCTGGGTCGCCCAAAGTTCAGTCTGTTCCAGCAGACTAGCCAGCACATTCTCGAACGCGTGCAACAGCTCCGCCATCCCAAGCGCGAGGCAAACCAACCCACGCACGCAGCGGCGGTGCTGAGCGTTTCCGACGGAACGGAGACGCCGTCTCTACTGCATCCCACCCTGCTGGATATCGGCAACACGCCGGGCGAGCGTTGGAAAGCCTGTTGTCACGACACCCAGTCGCCCATTGGCTTTAACCTGGCAGACGCCCCGATCCCCATGAGCAACGACCAATTGTTGACAGATTTCCAATTGCGCGGCGAAGTGGAGACCACGAGACTCGTGGAAAAGCATTGGGACCGTGTGGGCATCACGGCTGTCTACTTTCCGTTAGTGGCATTGCTACTGCCAAAGTGGACGCAAGTGCTGAAAGAATTCCAGTCAGAAGGCAGTCGCCAATTGGTGTATCTTATCAGTGGAGCAGGCATCCCGCGCAATGTGGAGCACTCGCACAGTGGCAACTCGACGGAGATCACAGCGCAACTTATTGTGCTGTTCGTACATCAGTATTACCCAGATATGACTGCGATCCAAGTGCATTCTGGATCGAATATCTTCAGGTTTGATGACAATGTGCAATTCATGACAAGAGAGTTGAGACCGCTGCTAGAGACACATCGAGAGACGCTCGTGGATCGATGTGGCGAGGCGTGGAAGTCGCACTTCCACGTCACGATCGCGTATGCCGACGGACCGCCGGCGCGACTAAGTGCGTTGAATGCCTCACTGCGCATGTACAGACCGTCGTACCTTCATATCTGGCAACTAAAGACGTTCTGGCATGAACGCAAACTGTCCATGGCAGACGTGGACTTTCACTCATTCGAGAACATTGAAGCATCCCCGTTAGTGACGCCCAGCAAGGCCGACGCTTTGACACAGATGATCGTCCGCGAGATGAGGAAATTTCGTGATCAGTTCCTCGCGGCCGAAGGTGAAGGCGAAGTGGCTGGCTTCTGGTTGCGGAAGTCGCGCAAACCTGTGCTTGCAGTGTTGCTGATTGAGAAACCGGCAGCCGAGCTTGGCGGTCGCCCTACAATCGTAGTGCAGCGAGGCATGAATTGCGAGGTATCTATGCCCACCGGCTCGTTGTGTGCAGAGCGCAACGCCATCGGTAGCGCGCTGGCCAGCGATCCAACGTTGACACGCCGCGCTTTAAAGATGATCGCCGTGTTGGGCTTAAACCTCACGGCGGGTGGCAACAGCAGCAGCGTGACCAGTCCGACCGCTAGCGAGGATACGGGAGACGATGCCAAGAGGAAGGAGCCATCTCAAGGCGCCTCGTTTGACAAAACGGCTTCAACTTCAACGGCTCCAGCTGAACTACATGTAGTCGAGGCTGCCAATCCGCAGGTGCTGTCCGTCCGGGTCCGTCCTGCGGCCGTGCAGAGTTCACTATCCTCAGCCGCGACAAATAATTCGACTGTTGCTGCTCGTGCAGGCAGAGGGCGAGGCAGAGGGCGCGGAAAGCGCGAATTGGAGACGAAGAACGCCAACTTGACGTCTCCGAGGAAGCCCAAGCGACCGCGAACGTTCTCGTTCGACGAGGTGGCTGTGGAAGAGATGATGCGAGCGAACGCGCCTCCAGACCGGAACCCGCTGGCGCCTTGCGGAGCCTTGCAAGGAATGGCTGGTCAAAATTGCGGAGGCGAACCCGTCATTTCGCGTGGTCACGTTCGAGAACTCGCGCTGTCGGAACGTCTACATTAACCAGATAATGTAAGTTTCAGGTCCGGCGTAACTCGCCGAGAAGCAATGACACAAATTGAGTTTCAGAGATGGTCCAGTTGTACTAATACTACATGTAGTAAACCCGACGTGAGCTGCAAAGCTTCTTTACCAGCACCACAAGAACTCGTCAAGCAAGTCACGTGACACTCTGCCGTCGTCGAGCGCGGTTCACCCAACGTGGCCACGTGGCGTACGACGTTTCACTCTTATTCGCCGTTACATGTATCTGTACACCTGCCATGCAGGGAAGGATAATTGCTACGATGTACCTGTACATGTACCAGTACTAAGCTTCGTACATGTAGTTCTTTGCGTTGAGCTCAGTTCTCGAGCTAGTCGATCGTCGAAGAACGACGTGCAGTCCACCGAGCCTGTCTGCTTTCTTTGTCCGTCCTTCGTTCTTGGTGTTGAGTGCGCGGCAAGAAAATCTACTGCATTACGCCGCTGGGCGTCGCATGAGTTTCCTCGCGCACGCATACCGGAATGCACAACACAACATGCCCAGCGTGCGTACTCGCCGCTCCTGTGGCTGGCTACTGTAGCGACGCTGGCTTTCCACACGAGCGGACGCGTATACGTCCACAGGCTGAATCTTGACGAGCAGGATCATCATCGTTGAACCGGCGATATCCTATAGTAGACGAGCCGGTTGATCGGTGGAGAACTCCAGCTCTGCTGCAGAGCTATAAATACTATTAATTTAATTGATACGTATCACCGCGGCTGAGCGCTTTGCGTCCTGAGTTGCAGTATCTGTAGTTGCCGTAGCGCCGACATGAAATTGATGGGGCAAAACGCAACTCATTTAAAAATGAACTGAAGGTGTTTCGGCAGAAGCGGCTTGGAGACCAAAATGCAACCGGAATGAGATATTTAGCTCCGTGCTGCAAGTACATGTAGCAATATCCAGCTTCGACACTGAGAATAACACGGTGCTTCTTGCCATCCGTGTGCGCTCGCGACGGAGACGGTCGAGTGCCGGTGTTTCTCGGCGTCCGGTGTTGTGTCGCGATCAGCTCGGAGCTCTATTACAACGTACGCCAGTGGCTGTCGTCGTCGCTGGCTTGCGGCTCATCGCTTGGGGGCTTTCATCGCCAGATTACAGCGCTGGGAAAGCTCGTCAGTGCTATCCGACACGAACAGCACTCGCTTTAGGCTTGATTGACTGGTCCAGGCGTGATTATTCGGATTCATGCAGAAAAGCAAATGGTGCTGCTGAATTAATTTAACGCCTCGCATGATAAACTTATCCGCTTGGTTTTCTCAAACAACGCAAGAGCTTCAACGTCACTTGGGAAGACGAGGCTCCGGTCGTCGGTGATTGAAGTTGTTGCAAGCTGAACTTTGGCTTTGCGCACACCGCGATTGCCTGCATAAGACAGCTCGCGTTACTGGCGATGGAGGTGCATCCGATCGAGGAAAAACACCTTGTTCATCTGCTTCGAAGCACCAGCTCGAAGACGATTTAGCTCGCTTATGCAGCATGTGGCGGGCCAATTTGGCAATGCACCTGTAGCGCTTAACTGATACAGTAATTGCACTTCATAGGGAGACTTTGAATCCGGTCGGAGGCAACGCAGCTCCGGACCAAAGATAGGACGGCCGGTACAGCCGGCAGCTCGACAATCGATCGCCCCCTTGTCAACTTTTTGCCGTGAGCGGAGCTGCACGCGCCATCGTCAGCACTTCTGCACGGCGGATCCCTACCCCATAGCCTGTCGCTTGCCATTGCAAGTGCACCCGATACAAGTGCGGGCAGGCTGGCACCAAAACTTGGTTGCCATTCCCATTTGCGAACTTGCTACGGCTGCACCACTCACCTGAAGCAACAACAGGCAGTGGCAAATTTCCCCATCTCTTTAGTTTTTATTGCTTCGCCGCTAGTAAATGGGCGTCGATATGGCTGCGCCACTTCACACCGAGACATACGAAACGCTAGGACAGGCCTGGATCTGGCCCAGCAAACAGCAACAGGTTGAAGCCTCTACCAGTTCTGCGGCGCGTACCGCCTCTCTCAAGCGCCGCACGGGTGCACAGCGTGCACTGCGAAAAAGTTGCAGCGAGCGTCCGCTGAATTCGCCCGTGCGCGGCATGGAATTACTTACCTCAACAGGAAGCGCTAATGTGTTGGACGCGGATGACAGCAACGCCGTAAACCCCGTGGGCGAGGACGACGAGCAGCGGCGCCAGCGTATCACAGCGCGCGCCGAAGAGATTCTGCGTGGCAAACGCTGTGTCGGAATGTTGGTCGGTGCGACTTGCCCCGTGTGCCTCATGGACGACGTTGACACCCAACTTTCCGAATGTGGCCACCTCATCCACGCAAAGTGCATCAAGCGCTGGATCCAATCTGGCACATGTTGCCCTGTGTGCCGTGAGGAGGTCGTGGACGTCGAAGAGGCATTTACATCTCCAGTCAAAGGGTTGCACCCCATGACAAAGGACCGTCTCACTTCCTCCTCCGAAGCGACGTGTCTACCTGAAGATGACGAAGACCGTCAGACCGAAGATGCCGGTTACGACTGGGGCTGGTTCCAGGACTTTGACGAAGCCGACGACGTATCGGACAATGGTAGTGACATGTTTTACTCGTCCCGCCGTTCGTTGCCAACCTTCCCGGCCTCGGCCAGCTCGCAGTCATTGACGACTGCTATGCTGAACCGAGAGATGTCGAGCAACTTTGACATGTGTCGTACATTCCCGCCACTCCACGAAACTTATGACACTCCTTACCATCAGAGCAAACACCCGTGGCTACGTGTATTACCGTCGCACCGCCACATTGCCGCTAACATTCAGATCCGCAGCTTCCGCATCGTAGAGGCCAAAGGTTCCAAGGCGCAACACGCCGAGTACCTCATCGAGATGCAACTAGACGGCCGCTATTTCAGTCACTGGCGCCGCTTTTCCGAGATCTACCGCTTCGTGTGCACACTGGACCAGAACCGATTTCGACAGACTATGGCGGCGTGGCAGTCTCTCGACGCTAACAGCCGCTGGTTCAACCGCCTCGAGCTCAGCTACCTGCACAAACGGTGCCGTATGCTCGAGGAGTTTGCCCATGCTCTGCTGATCGAGTGCTCTAACGCACACCCGCTCGCTGAGCTGGTCGAGTGCTAAGCTAACGCACAGACCAACTAACTTATATACGCAGACAAATTTTGCACGTTATGTAGATAAAAGTATCTAGACGAGAGTAATGGAGATAAAAGATTGATAGACAATGAAAATACGAATACACCACCAATTCCCGACCACTGTCCGTTGATCATTTGTTTTCTTTGTGTACACAGGCAGTCAAGTCTTATTAATACATGTATTATTAATACATGTATTTCTTTCGAGAGCCGACAGGAATGCGAGACACTCTCGTGCTGATGCTGTCGATGGCTTGATCGTCATTCACAAGCACTTGGCGATCCATGCGGCATTTGCGTCAGAAAGACACGCAGCAACCGCGACAAGTCCTGGCAAGAATCCGGCGGGTACGAAGCAATCGGTGCTGCTCGCCGGCGGCGAGAGAAGCAACAGAGCTCTGTTGCTTCTCTCGTTGACAAGTACTGTACAAATATACATTCACAGTCAGCGAGTTGTTGCTTGGTGGTGGTGTGGCTGTCCATGTGACCGCGTGCCCTCCATGTCTCGGATGTTTAACAAGCAAGCGACTTGGGCAATGGCCGCACAGTATTATAACAATGTACATGAAGTGAAGGTGTCGAGGATTCCACGCACCATGGTTGTCCCAAATTGGTGACCCCAATTCCGAATACGTACCTTCAGTGGTATCCTCTCAGTACTAAGTTAGTAGTACAATTTACCGAGCCACGTCTGATGACGAGTCCGCTGTCGATACATCACCGCCGGTGGCGCATCAACAGCGGTCCTGCAAGTTGCTGCAAGGATTGAATCAAGCAGCAAGCGGATCGATTCGCTTGGCCCTCGGGCAACCGTCCCACTTCGTCGCGGGCCGACGTCCGAAGCCAGTGGTTTCAAGCCACCTCCAAATTGGACTTTGTCGAGGAGAACGCGTGCTGCCACCCTGGTCGGGGCTGGCTTTCCAATAGAGATGCATACGCATGTGCATTGCGTTGCAGTGGCATGCACTCGTCAGGTGGCGAAGAGTGTCGGACGAATAGCTCAAAGTCAAAGAGAGATCTCATCGGCGAACGGTGTTGCGGTCTCAAACCCAGCTCAACAATCGAGGTGAAAGTCTTGGAGGTGGTCCCGATTCGTGACGCGCAGCAATAGGTGCGACATTAACCAGCAACAGTGAGCAACGTGATTCACGTCGTGAGGATGCTAAAGTAACCTCGATGCATATACCGTCCTGATCTCACAGTACATTCACCGGTACAGTACGCTTGCAAGTTCATTGCATCCCGGTACATATGGATATTAACAACGCACAGATAGCCGGTGGCAGTTTGAATCAAAAGATCAAAATTGATAAGAGAAGAAGAAGCTGCTCAAAGTTCAAGCAGCTTCTCGAGCCTCCAAGTTGGAGGCTGGAGTCCAAGCCCTATGCAATTTGAAGCATACGAAAAGGCGACTAGAAAGATGGTGCTTGCATTGACCAGCCTTAAGTTGTCACTTCGGTGGTCGTCATCGAGCACTCTAAGCGGAGATTTCCTGCAATCTTCAAGTCGCCTTTGCGTCAATGTTTCGTGAAGGACAAAGTGCTTACGCTTTGGTGTCAAGGAAATCAAAATTGTGATCGAGCTAGAGGAGAGTGTGAACGTTCTGCAAGGTCAATCTGGAACTGAAAGCACATTCCAAAGCGAAAGCATGACATGACCATAATGATTGTGATGTAATCAGGTGGGTATTACCGGTAATAGTGCACGGTGCACTGCATCCACGGCGCAATAATGTACGTAGTACAGTACTGTACCTACACAACAATAAAAAAATGATTGCTGTTGGCGATAACGACGAAATGTTCTTGGTTACGGCTTAAAATGTATACTTGTATACATGGAGGCACTCGGTCGGCTCTGTGCTACACGTTGGCAGTCCAGAGCTTCCAGGACGACGCGCGGTCACGCGGACGAGAGCGTCCGTGCGAGTTCAGTGCTCCTTCTGATGTAGGTTGCGGTAACGAGTGGTTCTGCCTTGTTTCCAGCTCCAATTGCCGTTCTTGCACTTCACGCAGAGCGCGACTGAGCTCCTCCATCTTGGTCTCGTAGGCCAGAATCACGTGCTGCGACTGATTCAGTCGGTTCTTCATACTCAGCACGTTGCCCTCCAGCTTGCGGATCTCAATGTCCTGCTGGGCCAGCTCCTCCTCCTTCTGTTCCACCTGCAGAGTCAGACGACTCACATCCGATAGCTTGACAGCATCGAACATTTGGTCGTGCACCACACTGCCACGTCGTCTGTACTTGAAGCGAACCTCGCTCGCCGAGGAATCAGACACGGAACTGGGCGACACGGGCGGCTCATCCACACGACGCTGCTGCAACAGTTTACTAGTCGATAATGGAGGTTTACTGGCGGTCTCGAGATCGTTGTCGTCCTGCATGTGGCGCGTCTCCAACAGCGTCATCCGGTCCTCTTCATCGTCCACTTGTACCTGGTGCGCAGAGTTCACGTAGCTGGTTGTCGACTCCACCGTCTTGGCATTTGAGACAAAGGATTCCACCAAAAAACCAACGAAGATCGGCAGCAGAATGTTGCTCATCGTCATGCGGTACGCGAAGAAGAAGACGTACGTTGAGTCCGCGTTCGTCATGGCGTGCGCGGCGTCCATTACAGCGTCCCACCCAGCAAGGTTAGCCACGCCGAACAGAGTGACCAGAGTTCCTTCGAACGTCTCCGTCTGGAATTCCTCACGCTGCGCATACCAACCGGGCGATAGGGATTGTTTACTGGCCGGGAAGTCACGTAACTCGATACCGTAATTGGCCTGTGTAACGATAGCGAATGCGTACATTACACTGAAGATCACGAGCAGGAGCTGCATGATCAGCGGCATGATGGCCTTCATAGTGTACATGATCTCGTGGAACGGCGGGAACAGGTTCAATAGCTTCAAGAAGCGCAGCGATCGCACAGCCAGCGCCATGTCGTAAAACACCAGCGAGATGTTCGGAGGCTTCGACAGCGTCGTGAGCACGTAGAACAACCAGCCCACACTCACGACAGCCAAGTCCAGTTTGCAGAACGGTCGTGTGAAGAACTCGTTGTAGCCAAAGGCGAACATCTTGACCAGAACTTCCAACGTGAAGAGATTCAGCAAGAAGAAGCCTAGTAGACGCCACGAGTGATTCGAGGAGAAGGCCAACTGGATGTTGTTCACCTGAACAGCTTGCACGACCGAGAGACAGATGAGCATTCCGACCGCCAGCTCGGCTAGCACCACTCGATATTGACCGAAGAGACGAACCTCGTACAGCAACGTACTGCGAACTTGGTTCCGGAAGCGGCGGATTGACTGGCGTTGGCGTGCCGTGCAGCAGCGACGCATGAGGCTGTTGGAGAACAGCGTCGGACGCTCAAGCTGCACGCTGAGTAACGAGCAGAGTTGGTAGAAGCCTGTCAGGTCCAGGAACCCCACGTGCTCAATGTCCACCGTATTGAACACGAGTTCGGCATCTGTAGCCGTCCACTTGGGCTTGAGGTATTCGCACACACTAATCCACGAGTCCAGCGAGATCTGACGCTTGTTGACAGGCGTCACGAGGTTGCTGGAGGTCGGGGCCGGATTGGTGAGGTTGAAAGACGAGCGTCGGTCGACTGTGCCCAGGAAGAAACGCGATGACCCACGGCGATTGGCGGCGTTGAGCATGGGGGCGTTCGAGACCAGAGTGATGTCACCAGCTCCGTTAAGTGGCGTACCGGAAACTGGCGGATTGGTGGGGGCGTCATCGTCGTTAAAGTTGACGTTCTGAGCGAGGATGTCGAAGGCAGCATACAGCGCCGCCTTGCGCTTCTGTAGACGCTTGTACAGCATACCCTCGGTGTTCTTCTTGTACGACTTGTAGGAGACGGCGATAGTGAGTTTGAGCAGGAACAAGTTGGTGAGTAGGACGAAGAGGACGAAGAAGATGGCGCTCCAGTGGGTCATTTTGTAGTACGGATACATGCTTCTAGCCATATATGGCATGCAGTTGAGGATCAGCAGCATCGTGTACATGGAAGACGAGAGCGAGTTGAAGAACGTGGCACTCGGGTCGGCGCTCGTGTCCGAGAAGATAAGATACCCGACAAGTCCAAAGAACGCGACGAAGCAGAAGCTCAATCCCAGCACAATCAACACCTCTCTCAATGCATGCAGGAAACTGCTAAAGATAATACGAATGTTTCTTCCTCGGCAGATGAAGAAGAACGGTCGTAGAGCCCTGGAATAACGGTACGGATTGACGGTCGGGAACAGCAGATTCACCAATAAATCCGCGCACGTGATGAGCAGCAAAATCATCCTCACTACAGCCCACGGTTGTCTCGTCACGTACTTGTGTTGTGTCTCCACAGAGCTCATGTACCATCGGATAGCCAAGTCCACACCGAAGACAAAGAGACAGAGAAGATCCACCAGTAGATAAGTGTTGATGTTCTCGTCGCCAGGGTTCTCGACAAATGCCAATGAACACATAATGGCCACCACCAAAATGTATACAAGTCTGTACGTCTCAGAGTGGAACAAGTTGTTCAAAAGCAGTGCGTCTCGATCCAATCGGTAGCCGATCTTGCGGCCATGCACGCCGTCTTTGATAAAGGCTGCTGCAATGAGGTACCGATCTTCCTCGAGGGCAGTACCGTACTCTGTAGCTGCTAAGATTGGGTCCTCTTCAGCCTCTTGCTCCACGTCAGCCGAGTCCAAGTTGTACGTGGGGATTCCAGAGCCCAGTCGACGTTTCTGTTCATGCGCGAGCTGCTGTCGGTGCCTCATGAACTCCAGTTGCACTTCACTGGCCATGCTCTTGGCTGTGCTATTGTCGTCGTCGATGTCGGTCAACCGCTTCCACTTCTTCTGGTTATCAAGGACTGCAGCGTCGAGACCGACACGAACGCGAGTCTTGGGGCGGCCTGGAGAGGCGATCACAGGGTCATCGCTGGACAGAGAGGGAGCCAGTGCGGTCGCAGAGCTGGATACAGGCGCAGTGTCGCCCTCAAAGCGCGGCGTCGCGCCCACGAGAGGCGTCTTCTCGTCGGGAGAGCTCATTCGTCCACCTGGGAGAGTTGTGCACTGGTTACAGTTGTGTAAAGCGGACAGCATCCGGATATGGACGTCAAGCTACCGGTATACAATCTGTCCGTTTTCCGGATGACGACGAGACGAAGCAAGGGCGGAACGATGTAGAAATTCACAGCCAAGATTCCAGCATGGACGTGTTGTGGGCGCCATGGATTGCGTCCACCGCAGATTCGAGTTTGGAGATACACGTTTACATGGTTGCTAATATAAGTATACAGCACGCCACGTCACTCTCTTGGAAAAGCAAGATCGCAATACACTACATAAACTTACGGCGATGGGTGATCCGAAATACATGTACTAAGTACTACAGTAATAATAAGGCAGAACATATTTGTTTGTTTCAAAGACACAATTGTGAGCTATAAAACTTACCTGCGTGTCGAGCCCCAGTGCATTGCAGTCTGCCAGTGTCCGGTGCCCCCATCTACGAGCCACCGTCCACTGCCAGTGTCTGCAAAGACACATCCCAAGGACACTCATGCGCCTGGCAGTGCAGCTTGCGACTGCACTACAGCCGGCTACACTGAGTACACATGCGTGCAATGGCAAAGGACTATACCAAGGACTGTATGCACAAGGACATCGTTGGCTGTGCGCTGCTAAGATGGTGTACTCAAACGAGAGTGCATTTATCTAGAGTTTAGTATTGACTTATTTGCTATTTGTATACTAATCTACTTTTGCGGTACAGCGGTGTTCTGGCGGAGGCTGCTCCACACTTTGCGTTTTGACGCCTGCCGCTCACCAGAGAGCAGCAGAGAAGAGCAGCCTCGCTAGACACCGCAGTCCTGTCGCGGCCTTTTACCCGGCACTTACGTGTTTACGTTACTTCCTGATTAGTTTCCTAAAGTTGACATTTAAGTGTATTTACATTTAAATGGCTCCTACTCTTAGAAGCGATCGACACATGGAGAACAATCCCCTCGTGACGAGCCCTACGTCACCACTGGTTATGAGCCCAATCAGGGCGCAGTCTGCGACTGACGTAGCTGCTGGCGTTCCAGACACAAGTTCTGGAATTTCGATCAATCAAGATCAAGCTTCAACTCCATTGCCAGGAAATTCAAGCTTGAACAATGACGCAACACTGTCGCACAGTGATTCAGAACGACTAATTCGTTCATTGGCTGGAATACCGGGTGGCCGCCCGTTATTCCAAATGTTACTAGAAAGTATGCATAAACTTTCGTCGACGAACACGGAAGAATCCGTGCCAGTTGACAATCCTCCCCAGTCGCCGCTAAACCAACAAAACGGCGACCGAGACCCCGACGATCCGTGGCGCCCTCTAGACAACATGAACCCTACTGGCCGCTACAACGACGGCGAGCTGGCTGAGTACACCAAGGTCCTCATCAACTCGCCTCCGATCAAGCTGCCCATGCTCCATCTGAAGGGCGACTACAAAGCCTGGAAGAGCGAGGTGCCGTTGCACTTCGAGCCGAAGATGCTGGGAGACATCACATATGGCCCTGAGCGCTACGATGCAGTAGAAGGCATGCGTCGTGACAAATATCGCGTGTGGTACAAGTCGCGCAAGAACAAGGCGTTCTCAGCACTTGCGTTGTCGCTGTCTGTTGACCTACGTACGACGTTCAAGATCGACGACATCCACGACAACATGGACGCCGCCGCTATGCTCTACGATGCGATTACGCAGCACTTTGAGGCTGGAGATGGCATTAATCCTGATTACCTACTGCAAGAGCTAGTGACGCGCCGGCTCAAGCCAAACGAGTCGGTATCGCAGTATGCTGACGACATTGCGAAGAAGGTGACACTTCTACATCAAGCTAATGGTGAGTTTGCTGAGTGGCAACATGCAAGCCTACTACTGTCGAGCAGCGTGGAAGCGTTTAAAGATCTCGCCCGTGAACACGGCGATTGGCTTAACAACCATGATCGTAAGACACTTACACTTGCTGAAGCTTTACAACGACTACGCGCTGCTGAACACCAGCGTGACCAGCTGCGTGCACAGACCAGACAACCGGTCGCGCATTCAATGCAAATTGCTCATGTCGGAACGGACCAAGGACAAGGTCAAGCCCGAGGACGCAAGCGCAACAAGCAACAGCGCAAGCGATCTAAGGGCGTTGCAGATAAGAAGCAGCGCACAAACTGCGCGAACTGTCAAGGAGAAGGACATTGGTATGCCGAGTGTACGGCTCTCACTGGCCAGCAACTGAAGCCAGAGCTCGCGAGAAAGCTGCAAGAGAGACAACTAAGGGCTCCCGTGTCGCTGGTGAACTCTGTACGTCGTATGGATGCGGTAGCGTCGGAAGAAGATGGCCAAGGACTGTTTGCTGGCCTATCACTATGCGATGCGAATGCGATTGACCTTACGGATGGTGCTGCCCTATCGTCTACGGCTACGCAATCACCTGCATGGTCACTAACGTCTCCTGCAGAAAGTGAAGAAGGAGGAGAGCGTCGTGTTGTTGAATGGGTGCGGGCAAGTACGCAACGCACTCAATCGTCGGTTGCGCAAGCAACGCACCGCTTGAGGTGCAGGTGGAGGTTCTGTTCCAACACTTACAAGTTGGAGGACAAGGACTAACACAACGGACAATCAACTTACTGCCTACACTGCAAGGCACAACTGTAGGCTGCCAAACTTGCCATACACACTCGCGGGACACAACTGTGAAGTGCAACCTACTGGACACAGCCCTGGCTGTTCAAACAGGGTGTACAAGCTACTGTTACTGTGCAAAAACATGCAACCTAACTGTTATCGAGGTACCTGTGCGCAGACTCAGTGGGGAGGGGCAATTCCAGTCTTACAGCTGGATTGGTGGCCCTACGTGGGAATCAGTCCATCTACTACCTTGGGGCAAGGGCCTGGTCGAGTAAACTCGAAAGGGCCTACCACTTGAGCCATTGGGCGCAATCAAGCTGGAACCACAAGGGGGTTCCGGCTGGTGCCGGGGGATAAGCTGTCGAGGTTCCTGGATGTTCGGGTTTAACAGACCGCCAAGAACCCAGGGAATGGCGCAATTGGATTACAAGACCTAACTTGGAAGAGTGCGGTACGAGAGAGGGACTCTGGAGAGTCAAGAATGTTGGGGACACTTTGAACCCTCCTATTCCAAGGAACCGAAGGACGAAGGTCGGTTTCACCCACCCCGATTCTTTTCAATTCGGAGAACCGAAACTTTCCACCCAAGAGGGAAAGATGGGCCGTTCCTTCCGGTTCAAAATGCGAAGGAACGTGGGAAACCAAGGAGGGGGAAATCCCAGGGGCCGTTTATCGATCTCCACCGCGTCAGCAAGCAGTGGCGTAACGAGAGACCGAGTTGCTATGAGCCGCCACCCCAACGGCGATGATCGACTGAGGTCGCTATGGGACCGTCGTCTCCGCAGCAGCAGTGGCGTGACAATCCTTCGAGAGGACGAGGACCTTCACCTCGACGTGACAATTTCCAAGGGCGGAACATGTCTCCACGTCGATTTGAAGACCGTCGTGAGAACAGACCACCCAACTCTCGTCAAGTCAACGCTGTGAGCCATAACCCAGGCAAACTGGCCAGCTCGAGGACCGTCTCCCTGGACGACGTGGTGTACACACCGAACGCGAAGGTGAACATCATTAGTTTGGGCTACCTACAAACGAAGGGCAACTTCAAGTTGACATGCTCAGAGGACCAACAGACTGCTTGGATCTCCAAGCCAAGCACATCACTCAAGTTCATGATGCGTGACAGTATCTACCGACTACGTGCAGAAAGAGTGACTGGAGTGATGGTGATGGCGGCTCTAAAAGAGGACATGGACAGCAAGAAAGCCATGGAGCTGCTTCATCAACGATTTGGTCATATGAGTATGGAGACGGTGAAAGTGTTGGCAAACAAACTCGATGTTGGAGTTAAGATGAATGCAAAAGGTCTGTCTTCCTACGAGTGCGTTGCTTGTGCTGCCAGTAAGGCGAAAAAAATGTCTTACAAACGGATTCCATCGCGGAAGTCCGAACCTCTGGAGACTCTCATGATGGACATTTGCTCTGTAAACGAACAGTCTGTGGATGGAGCTACAATGTTTCTCTTTATCATAGATGAGTCTACAAGGTACAAGTGGCCGTTCCTACTCAAGAAGAAGAGTGAAGCAACGTTCCACATCAAGGTCCTGCTGAACAGGCTGCGAACTCGCTTTCCTGAGAAGAAGGTGCGACGACTACACTCTGACCAAGGAGGTGAATTTGCAAGCAAGGAACTAAGTGACTACTGCGTCGACCAAGGGATTGAGCAGCAGTTTACGAACGCCTATTCTTCTCAAGAGAACGGCATTGTGGAGCGTGCTAATGGCGTGGTTCTACCAAGGATCAGAGCGATGCTGATGGCTACACACATGCCCAACTCCTTGTGGGGAGAAGCCTTCCTGCATGTGGTGACGACGTTGAACTGGTTGCCCACCAAGCCCTTAGGATTGGTGTCCCCGCACCAGAAACTGTACGAATCGGAGCCCATGCTGGATGATTTGCGTACTTGGGGCTGTCTGGCACACGTGCGTGTTCCTCCTGAGTCAAGACAAGCGAAAGAAAAGCTGGAAGCAAGGGCAAGACTGTGTTTATTACTGGGTTTATAGTCGAATCCACCTAGGATACAAGTTCATTGACCTGGTGACAGCTCAAGTGGTGACAGCTCGTAGTGGGAATGTGAAGTTTCATGAAGAGTTCACAACCGATGGCATCTACATGAAGCATCTATTAGAGAACGCATTCTTTGATGGTGATCATACTCTACGCGAGACTGTATCTGTGGCGCGCATCAAGATCAACATGGAGACGTACCTTCCAGGTTGGAGTGACGGCATCTCTAGTGCGGAGAAGCCACTTGAGGCGGTACCACTTGCTGACGAGCCTGCAGAAACTGAGTTAAGTTCAAGTGGGAGTTTGTCAATCGTTGACGCACCTGTGAGCAAGGACAGTGCGGAGACTGCTGATGTTGCAGCACCAGCCGTGTTGCAGGATCCTGCTGAAGAAACCGAGGAAGGTTTGGAAGTGAGGAAGCGCAAGAGACGCAGAATAAAGAAGAAACCTGCAATGGTGGAGAAGGAGACAAGTGGCTTCGAGATTCAACCTCCATCAAGAGAGCCCTGCCTAAAGCGACCAAGAAGGAAGCAGAAGGCGAACGTTCGATTGTCGGATTACGTGGTAGGCCTAGTGCAGGCTATGACTACGGATGTGCAGATTCCGACGACGTACAAACAAGCACGTGCAAGCAAGTACTGGCAGCAGTGGAGAGCTGCAATGTTGGTGGAACTTCAATCGTTGAAGGGTCATAAGACCTGGAAACTTGTACCCCGCAAAGATTCCAAGAAAGTGAAGGTGATAACGTGTAGGTGGGTCTTTGCTGTGAAGCGAGATGAGCGTGGACGAATCAAACGATTCAAAGCGCAACTAGTGATCCATGGATTCAAACAACAACTTGGGATTAACTATTATGCACCTGTGATCCGGTTCGAAACCATACGTGCGGCTATCTACTACGCTGTACAAAGAGGTTGGGAGGTGTTGCAATTTGACGTGAAGACGGCTTTTCTGTATGGAGACTTGGACGAGACTATCTTCATGGAGCAGCCTCCTGGCTTCCAGGTGGATGGACCTGGGTCCATTTGCAGATTGTTGAAGAGCCTGTACGGACTGAAGCAAGCACCGAACGTTTGGATTCGCACGCTTCATGCGAAGCTTGTTGCGATGGGGTTTTACTAGGGACGGGACTCTGCCTATGGCCTATATGCATTGAGAAAGGATGGTGAAGTCAAGTTGCTACTGACTGTTTACGTGGACGATCTACTGCTGATGGGTTCACGTGACCTGTGTGCCACAATCGCTGCCTCACTGCAAGAGACATTCGAGCTCACGACGATGGGCACAGTCAAATATCTCTTAGGCGTTGAGATCCTGATTGACCGGCCGCGCCGGCAAATAGTGTACTGCCAGAAGCAGTACGTACTGGAGGTGTTGAAGCGTTTTCATATGGAGAACTGTAATGGCTGTGCTACACCAGAAGCTACGACGCCCTCGAAGACAGACGTGCCTGCTTCGAAGGAGTATCTTCCCTACAGAGAACTGGTGGGTGCTCTCCAGTACCTCGTTAGTGCATCGAGACCTGACATAGCTCATGCTACCCGACACCTGGGCAAGTATCTTGCGAGCTATGATCATATGCATTTCGCACAAGCCAAGAGGGTGCTGCGTTACCTGAAGGCTACATGTGACTACGGACTAGTGATGAATGTGAAGCTACAGACTGATGTGCAAGTTAGTGGATACTCTGATGCTGATTATGCAAACGACCCTGTGGATCGACGGAGTACCAGTGGCTACATCACTATGCTGGACGACAACGTCATCTCCTACGCATCTCGTAAGCAAGAGATCAACGCGCTCAGTACCTGTGAAGCTGAGTACGTAGCAATGACAGAGGCGACCAAGGACTTGTTGTGGCTTGCTGGCCTATGCAAGGAGTTGAGCTGGAAGCATCCAGTACCTCAACTACTGGGAGACAATCAAGGAGCCATTGCCTTAGCTGCGAAGCCTGGCAAACATTCGAAATCGAAACATATCGATAACAAGTACCACATGATCAGACGCCACGTGGAGTTGAAGCAACTTACAACCCAGCACATCGGAACTGATGCTATGGTGGCCGATATAATGACAAAGGCACTTGCAGTGGTGAAGTTCACACACTTTCGCAAGGCTATGAAAGTCTTACCTATTGTGTCGAGCGACGACAACGTATCCGAGTACATGGCTACAACTACGACTACTGCTACTGCGTTGACTACTGCTGTTGATGCGGAGGCTGTACCTGAGCGACATTGATGAAGACGAGGGCGATCGAGTGGGAGTGCTGTTACTGAGTGGACTGCTATTGCTTTTGAGCTGTGACTACGCTACTACTAGGACTATGGCGGCAACTAGGATGCGCGTGTGTGATCGCGTCGACTTCCAAGTGCGTCGCCGAGATCAAGTGGGAGTGTGAGCTATAAAACTTACCTGCGTGTCGAGCGCCAGTGCATTGCAGTCTGCCAGTGTCCGGTGCCCCCATCTACGAGCCACCGTCCACTGCCAGTGTCTGCAAAGACACATCCCAAGGACACTCATGCGCCTGGCAGTGCAGCTTGCGGCTGCACTACAACCGGCTACACTGAGTACACATGCGTGCAATGGCGAAGGACTATACCAAGGACTGTATGCACAAGGACATCGTTGGCTGTGCGCTGCCAAGATGGTGTACTCAAACGAGAGTGCATTTATCTAGAGTTTAGTATTGACTTATTTGCTATTTGTATACTAATCTACTTTTGCGGTACAGCGGTGTTCTGGCGGAGGCTGCTCCACACTTTGCGTTTTGACGCCTGCCGCTCACCAGAGAGCAGCAGAGAAGAGCAGCCTCGCTAGACACCGCAGTCCTGTCGCGGCCTTTTACCCGGCACTTACGTGTTTACGTTACTTCCTGATTAGTTTCCTAAAGTTGACATTTAAGTGTATTTACATTTAAATGGCTCCTACTCTTAGAAGCGATCGACACATGGAGAAAATCCCCCCGTGACGAGCCCTACGTCACCACTACAATCGTTTTCACTCAGAGAGCTACCTCATCCAGCGAAAAGTTTATCAAATAGATTGCTAGGTATATACCGAGAGGTCCCAAAATGTTGACCGAGTTACAGGTAGCAATAGGAGACCTTCAATCCACCGTAGCTTTTTGAACAACCTCGCTCAACTTCATCATTATGAATGGACGGGTCTTCTCAGATTTCAATGCATAATGTCTGCGAGCCTCGAAATTTGAAATGCGATTAATGCCATTATCGGGAGCCCTCGTGTGAGTACTGCTCATACTGGAAGGACCACGCTGTTCCCTCCAGTGACAGTTCTACTGTATGTACTTTGTCTGCCACCCTGGACGGATTTTTTTTTTCATTGTAGTACCGGAATCCGTTGCATTGACTTGCAGATGATTTTCAGTAAATTTGTTATCGATTCGTCTCGATTTTTCAATTCGATTATTAATAACAACGTTAGATTCACTTCTACAAAATTTTAATACATGAAGTCCCTCCCGATTTACTGCAATTTTTGAGCCGTCAATTATTTTTCGGAACCTGCTTATTCGTGCTGCGTCTTGCCTGAGGAAGAGGTATTATTGCCGCTTTTAATCGCTGAGAACGAGATAATGGATCGAGCGTTGTGATGCTGTACGCCACTGGATGTGGCACATCCTTGAAGTCTACCAACGCTCCAGTGCTGGCGCTCTTTTCTAGTTGACTTCTTGCAAAGGAATTGTGTCGAAGTGGAGCGAGCTTTTGATGCAACCGGGCGGCAACCACTCGACGACGTTTTTGTCGTTTACCTTGTAGAGTTAGACGTCTCTCAGTAACAGCAGAAACAGCGTCGTGATGACCAAGAAAATTCTCCGGACAGGTTTCAGGCGGTGATACAAGACGATGCATATCCTGCAGACGTTGGTATTCGTCCTGAACAAACTCGAGATGCTCATCGGTGGGGCCACAGAGCAAGATGGATGCCACACGAGGTGACCCGACGCCTTTCTTCTCGCTCAAAGTCTCAAGTAGACGCTGGAACGACTTTAGCTCCTGTGCATCTGCTCCATTGGCGGTTATTCTCCGTGTTTTCCGCTTTCCACCAGAAGGTTGACTCGATTCTTCCTCGCTGTTTTCTGCGTCCTCATCGTCGTCTAGTGGATCGTCTTCGGTCTCCAGTCCATTCCTGGCAATATCTTCTGGTATAATAGACGAGTAGGAGACTGTCGAATGCTCCTGAAAAGACCTCGACAGCATGTTGAAGCGATCGATGAGGTAGTCCACAGTCTGAATTGCTCGCGACGGCTGCATCTTTTGACCGGAAGACATGACGGCCAGAGTGAACGCTGTTCCAGGCTCCAAAGCCACAACTGACAAGTAAAATCCAACACGGAGAGACGTCGGGTCCTGCTTTGCGTTAAGGGATCGAAATGAGGCGTTGGCGTCGCCCAGAGTAGCCCTTTGCTTCGTACATGCCGCATTGTTCGCTGCCTTTAGCAGGTCGTGTGGATAGAGAGTAATACGGTGTCCCTCGTCTGAGTCCTTCGCCAGTCTTTCAGAAGATCGCCACGTAAAATCCGTGGAGCAAGGCACCTTGGTATCCGTGGACATGAACACCTCGGCATCGCCGCGTAGGACGTGCATCTTCAGCGTAATAATCGAGCCATGGCCCTCGGGTAGGTAGTAGAAGTGGAAGAACTGCAACTCCTTCGCTTCTTTGAATTCTCGTCGCACGCTCACGCCGAATTGAAGCTCTTCAGTGAGCTCACGACAGCTTTCTCGGTGGATTCGTCTCAGCCGGAAGCCAGCATCGACCGCTCCTTTAGAGTCCTGCTTTGTCGACATTAGAAAGGAGCTGCTTTGCCGAGAGTGCTGGAGTCGCAGTAAGTCTTGCTCTCGCTGCTCCTGCCACTTTTGACGCAGCTTTATCTGTCGCTCCTCGGCCTCGCGTTGCTCCGTTTGCTTTTTCTCGAGATCGTTCCTCATCGCGGTGAACATTTTCGACTCGGATTCATCGAAGAACTGTTGCCATTTCTTCTGCATGGCAGCTTCAGTCTCGGGACTGAATGCGATGCCCTCGCCCAGCATGTTCACTACTCGCTCACCATAAAGCGCTCGCTCTGCGTCTTCATCCAAGCGCTTACGTCGAAAAGGCATGAGCGGTATGTCAGCAGGAATACTTGGACCATCGCCACCCACGGCCTGTAAGTTACCGGGACTGTCCTTGTTGCGAGGGAGATCGTTTGAGTCGTCTTTGGTGCTGTAGTGTGGATCTTTCAGCCCTTCCGAGTCTGCTGGCTTGCTCTTACCAGTCTTTTGTTCGTCGATGCTCTCGTCATCATCGCCCTCACTCTCGCTGTCATCGTTCGGAGTCCACATTGCTGTACGGTACGGATTAGAAGCTGCGACGCTGCGTATGAATGCTGGCTGTTGGGAGAATCGGAACCCGTGCAAAATTCGAGAATCCTCTTGCTTGACAGTTTGCGGCGTGTGTTGTGTTTTGTCGCTGACTTCCGCCACTTTTTCTTCCTCGCTTACGACTTCGCTTTCAGTGCTCAAGTCAGGAACATATTCGTTCGTAGGAATGGGCTCTTCAAGTGGCGCTGCTACGGTTGGTATCAAGGTCACTTCTTCGTCCTCCACGACCGCAAGCTCTTCAACATCAGCAAGAAGGCGAACTTCGACCACTACAGGAGAGTCAACAACACTTTCGACCGCTTCCATGTCAGGACTTATTGGCACCGGCTCAACGGCTTCAACTTGGACGTGCACTGCTGGCTCGAGCTCGGATGGAACTTCTTTAACGACAATTGGCAAGATCTCGGGAGGCTTCTCTTGAGGAAGTTGCTCGTCATGCACATGGGATTGCTCGACATCAGTGACATCGACTTCGGCTCCATTGTCCGCGTCTTTGCCTTCGTCAACTTCAGATTCTATCAGAGTTTCTTCTCGTGCTGTCACGACTGGGGTTGGTTGAAGAGGTGGAGGGGGCTCTGGCGATTTCATCTCGACCTCTTCAGTTTTAAGCTGGACTGCCGTTTCTTCAAGTTTTACCGGTGTGGAAGCTGCACGCACTAGTCCCACGCGGATGGAATACGCTTTAAGGGACTTGGGTCTTGGGAGTTGGGGCGGGGCTTTCTAGCTCCAACTGTGGGAAACTAATAACCACTAGGGGTTGGTGCTTTCGGCTCTGTATCGCCGGACGTGGGGAAAGGAAGCGCG